GTACTCAAAAGAAACTTTGCAGGCTAGAAGGGACTGGCAAGAAATACTGAAAGTCATGAAAAGCAGGGGCCTACAGCCAAGATTGCTCTACTCAGCAAAGCTATCATTTAGAATTGAAGGGCAGATAAAGAGCCTTCCAGACAAGAGAAAACTAAAGGAGTTCATCATTACCAAACCATTATTATATGAAGTGTTAAAGAGAATCATTAAAGAAAAAGAAGATCAGCCCTGGCTGGTGTGGCTCAGTGCATTCCTGGTCAGGGTGCATGTCTGGGTTGTAGGCCAGGTTGGGCCCCCAGTAAGGGGCATGTGAGAGGCAATCACATAGTGATATTTCTCTCCCTCTCTTTCTCCTTCCCTCCCCCTCTCTAAAAATAAATAAAATATTAAAAAATCTAAACTATGAATAATAAAATTGGAAAAATAAAATGACATAAACATATTTATCAACAACTGAATCTAAAAAACAAACTAAGTGAACAAGAAGAACAGAGACAGGCCTGAGCTGGTGTGGCTCAGTAGACTGAGCACCGGCCTAGGAACCAAAGGGTTGCCAGTTCAATTCCAAGTCAGGGCACATGCTTTGGTTGGGGGCCAGGTCCCCAGTAGGGGATATGTGAGAGGCAATCACACCTTGATGTTTATTTCCTTCTCTTTCTCCCCCCCCACCCCGCCTAAAAATAAAGAAATAAAATTTTTAAAAAAAGAAGAAGAGAGACAGAATCATGGATACATGAGAGTGTTTTGATGTTTGACAGGTGGGAGGGGCGTACGGAGGACTGGGTGAAGAGGTGAAGGAATTAAGAAGTGCAAACAGGGCCCTAGCTGGTGTGGCTCAGTGTGTTGAGCTCTGACCTGGGAATCAAAGGGTCACTGGTTCAATTCCCACTCAGGGCACATGCCTGGGTTGTAGGCCATGTCCCCAGTATGGGGCATGTGAGAGGCAACCACACATTGATTCTCTCCCTCTCTTCCCCTCTGTCTAATTTAACACTTAAGAAGGAAGTACAAATAGGTAGTTATAGATTAGCCATGGAGATGAAGAGTATAGGAAATGGAGTAGCCAAAGAATTTATATGGATGACCCATGCTTGTGAATGACGGTGCGTAACTGCCCGAGGGAGAGGCGATTGCTGGGTGGAAGAGGGTAAAGGAGGGTAAAGGGGGAAAAACTGTGACAACTGTAATCACATAACCAATAAAATGCAATTAAAAATAAAAAAGAATAAAAATAAAAACAAAAATTTAAAAAATAAAAGTAATTAAATTTTAATTTTCCTACATTGGAAACCACTTCAAGATTTAATCCTTTAAACGCTAAATGACATAAATGTGTAGACCATAAAAAATTTATAAATCCCTTTCTAACTAAAAGGACAAAAAAATGATCGTTTTCTCCTTATTATATGTCACACTGAGGATAATTTCAGGCATGAGTAACATGTCATAATGCACTGGGGTTTGCAGTTAAGCCCTGAAATGTAGTAGACATTTCAAATATAATTTACAATAAGCTTTAAGGTGGTTTTCTCTTATCAATAAAAATAAAACTTCAAAAGTTTCCCCTCACATCCACTGAAATAGGAGTTCATTTTACTTAGGAATAGTTTATCCTTTTCTTTTAAAAAGATTTTCTTTCTTTACTTTTAGAGAAGGGGAAGGGAGAAAGAAAAACATCAATCGGTATCAGAACCTCAACCTAAGCATGTGCCCTGACTGGGTATTCGAACCTGGGACCCTTTGCTTCATGGTAGGACACCCAACCACATGAGCCACACTGGTCAGGGGAAGAATAGTTTATCCTTTTCAATTTCAAAGTTCCCTAGGTACCTAAGGACACAAAAAAAACGACGTAAAAATGGAAAAAGCGCCTGGGAACTTAAAAAGACCCATCTCACATTTTCAGGTTCTCTTGCCTAAATGAAACCAAAATTCTGTTTATTTCCACAGTTATCGTACCTTGTTCATATGGCATCTCTCAATCAAGTTATATTAAAAAAGCCCAGGTGTTAATGGAAACTAAAATCAAAGGGCTGCAATACTCAATGGATAAAGGAATCCAAAAAGAATGAAACACAAATGCTGGAATCAAAACTGATAAGCAGTCTGTTTCCCTACAGTTGAGGGGGAAAACCCTCCCAACACATTCAGGAAGTTGAACATAATCCCAAACTTAAGGTGTGGGTACCCCTGCTTGAGACCCCTGGGGGTTTTTTTGTCCTATTTCGAGCTATTTTTTAGTCTTTCAAGCTTTACTGATTAAATATGTTTTATTCCTAGTGAAAAGCGGACACATATAAGCCAATAAATCGTTTCAAGGTGACAAACCCAGGTGAGAAGTAGTGCTCAGGAAAACACCCAGGCAAGTTTCCAAACAGGAACTTCACCTGAAGCACTTCCCCTAAGATTCTGTACCCAGGAAAGATCCTGGGGGAGAGGTGCAAGGTTTGCAAGCAACAGAGGTCCAGGTGGTTATTCCTGCCTTTCCTCTCACGAAAAGTAGCCACACAAAATGTAAATCTCTAAAGAGCCATCCATGACTCTGCTAAAAAAGGATAAACAATTAAAATATTGGGTCTGTGTGAAATGCACCACGGAGGACAAGTAGTTGATAATGATGCTGTGAATCGCAGAGGGGAAGTTGGCTTGGGAATTCGAAGAGCTATATGGAAATTTAGGGACTTGTTGCCAGTCCCAGGAAGAGATGGGCTGGGGCACAGGAACTTTGGGAAAACTCGGGAGAAAATGGGACCCTTGGGGAGAAAGGAGGGACTGGGACCGCACAAACCAGAGGTGTACCACCATTCAAGAACTCGGGAGACGGAGTCACGATCGCCCCCTGACGACCCTCTCTGAGGTCACCGCACATTCTTGGGAGACGCGGGGCTGCCGGCGCAGAGCTGCCCACAGGGACTTCGCGGTAGGGCCGAGTGCAGTGAAGGGAGAGGACGCCTGGGGCCGGTTACCAGACCAGCCACTACACTGCAAGCCAGAGTTCCCTACAGGGAATCGGGTCCGTAGACTTCAGGGGGGACCGCGGAGAGGCCGTCCCGCCACAGCCGATTCCAACCGGTTCCAACCAGCCTCTCATCCCCATTTCTGCACCCCAGCAGCACTCACCATTTCTAGGTTTCCTGGGTCTCCCTGAGTCCTGCCTACGACTCCCACAAGCAGTGCCTATTACAGGCCGATTACACTGCAACACCGTGCTGCAGTTAGCAGCGATCCTCAGGGACTGGCGACACCCAATCCCCAGCGCTGCTGGGACTAGTTCGGACGTCCAGGACTTCTTGTTGCATTGCCCCACCCACCTTCCCCAGCGGCACTGCTGACTGGACAGTTCACAAGGCCCCGCCTCCTTGTGTCTGAGTGACAGCCGACGGGAGGACGCGTGGCTCAGCGAAACAAGCCTCCACTGGACATCGGGGACCTGATCTCGCATATCTCACTGTATTTAAACAGAAGGATTTTTTTTTGGCCTGGGGCAACCCCCTATTGTTTCCCCCGACATGTTTGAGATGAATGCCAGGGCACGGACTTGCACAGGGAATTCCTGCTTAAGTTTCCAAGTGGTACAAGTAAGTACAGAGCACGAGGGCAGTCCCGACCAGGCCACAGTGGGACAAGAGGGTCTTATGTCCATTAGGGGGTCAAGAGCTTGGCTTAGGTTGTGAGGCCACTCAAGGAACTCTGAGCCTTGCTTAGAAATTCACTTAAATGCGGCCTTACCATCTATTATAGGAGTCTGGCCCCATTTCAGTCTTTGATATTTGCAACCCTAGAGCCTCACACGTCTTCCCTTCCCTACCCCCTCTCGTTTTGTTCTTAAGAAAAAGAATCCCAGAGCACTTGGCTCTGGTGGGAAGTTGGCACCCGCCAGCCCTATTCTGAATGCTAGACTCTTCCCAGTCTAACCACAGGGTGTGAAATGTATTCATTACAATCTCAGGTGAACATTTTACACTGAAAGGGAATTTAATTTAGATCAGTTTTTGCATTAGTCCTCAGAGAATTTTGAAATGTCAATGGCTATAATATCCTTAAGACAGTTGCTTTCTATTTTTAATAATATAAGAAAAAAATTAAAGTATCATCTCAATATAGGTTGCACCTGGAAACTTCTCTCCCCAGCTTTATTGAGGTATAACTGACTAATAAAATTGTCTGGATTTAAAGATTACAGCCTAGCCCAACAGCTCAGTTGGTTAGTCCTTCTGATTTACCAAGGTTGCTGGTTGGATCTCTGGTCAACCAGTGCATACCTAGATAAGTGGAACAACAAAAATCAATCTCTCTCTCTCTCTCTCTCTCTCCTACCTCCTATTTCTCTAAAATCAATAAATAAATCTTAATTTTTTTGCCCTGTCTGTTGTGGCTTAGTTGGTTGGGCATTATCCTGCAAAGCGAAAGGTCACCAGTTGGATTCCCAATTAGTGTACAAGCCGGGGTTGAGGTTCGGTTCCTGATAAGAGCATCAACGAAGGGAAACCAATAGATGGTTTTCTCTCACAGCACTGTTTCTTTCCCTCTCTCCCTCCCTTCTGCTCTGTCGTCATTCTGCCTGGAGTTGCTCACATCAATAAGAGGAGATAGTATTCAGTAAAAGAAGTTAGAAATGAACAAGGATAGGCAAATGCTCTAATGAGTTCTTCTCCCTGATCCTGGGGAATTAGAAAAGTATGAAATGGTTGTGTGGGGGGGGAGGTAGGTGGGCTCAGGGGTAGGGATTCTGTAGGAATGGTGGAGGGTTCTTGGATTTCAAAGGGAGCATGCACAGATCTCAAGCTTGAAACACAGCTAACCGTACATTGCATGTCTCATTTTAATGTTAAGTCTCCTGAGTGTGACTTTTAGTATGCTAATGAAGACAAGTTCATCAAAAGGTCTCTTGGGAAGGGGGTGCCATCTTGGATTGTTCCACAGCAAACCTGTTTCTTGCTGGTGGTTCTTAGTCTTTAGCTCTGAAATTTCCACTTTTTTCTTTCTTTTTTTAGCCCAAGAAAAAATATTTATTTTCTGATTTTTTGGGGTCTCTACAAATACCTTGTTAACAATGTTGAAGCAGTCTGCTTTTGTAATTTAAACAAACAAAAAAACCCTCAAAATTCTCTCCTAGGATAAATCTGATGACATAAGGATAACACTAAGTAAATGCACAAATGCCAAAAGATGCAAAATTAACTGAAATGTTCATCCTTCCTGAAATTTCTCTGAAAACAGTAGAGTAGAATCAATGCTGCCACCTAGTGACAAGCCAAACAAATCAGGTAGCATCCTGGAACAAAACGGGGTCCTCTGGCCCAATATCTGGTTCCCCAACTATTATCAGGCTATTTATTACCTACCTTCCTAAAAAGAAAAAAAAGAAAAGAGAAAAATCACAGCAACATTTCCCAAGCAATCTCTCCTCCAGAGTACCAGTCCAATCATGGAAATACAGAAACTTAACCATGGCCTGTGACACACACAACTTCACATGAAACTTTCCTCTGACAATTTTTAAGGTCATTTTGCCCAGTCATATAGCCCAGTAGGGATGATACAGGAAAACGCAGACACATCCAAAACGCTCATCTGTTCAGAGTGTATACACAGTGATTCTGATGCCTGTTTCGTCAAACACCTCTTCAATTATTGCAGATACATTTTCCCATTTCAGACGATCAAGACCACACCCAATCCTGGGCATGGAGAGATCCGTGACTCCATTCTTCAGACAATGGGACTTCATGGCCTCTAAACTCTTCTGTAAGTTTTCATAAGTTGGCTTGTGTGAAGCCCTTTTCTTTGTAATCAAGTAATATATACATCGCCCATCTCTTTCCAGAACAGCCACTTCTCCAGATTTCTTTTGTTGATTTACCAGTTCCTGCACCCCTCCAAATTTCTTCTTAAAGAGTACAGCTATCCCAGCACCCATTCGACAATCCTCACTGATACAGTGGGCCAAAGAGTCTGTTTTGGGGCATGCAAAAAGGTCTCCTTTTACATAAGTGATTCTGCTTCCTTCTGCATCTTCACTAGGGCTGCTGGCCATGATATCGAGTTGCTACCTCCAAAACTGAAATCTTTCCTCAGCTGAAGTAGGCTGTTAACAAAACCCACCCCGCGGGGAAGGCCTCCAAATCCCGCCCTGCTAGGTGGGGAGCATCCGACCTCCACTTTTTTCTTTTAAAAACCAAATTCATCCTGCTTTTGTCAGGGGACATGTTGGAGAGAACACAAGATAGTCAGTAGAAGTGTAAAGATTGACTAACAATTTCTAGGCAGCATAAGTAGTCATGGCTTGCACGTCTCACAACCACATCAAAATTACAACTAAAATGTAGAACAACTATCACTCAGAACCATCAGAAATTGAGTTGAATGGAAGTCTGACAACTACAGAATTAAAGAAACCACATCCATCCAGACTGGTAGGAAGGGCACAGAGGAAGAACATGCTGGTCCCACACCCATGTGTTGTAGATAAAAATTCTGGAGGGATATATTGGGACCGAGGAGTCCCAGCCCCACACCAGGTCCCCCAACCCAGGGTTCCACTGCCAAAAAGATAAGTCCCCATAACTTCTAGCTGCAAAAACTAGTAGGAGTTAAGGTGGTGAAAGAAACTTCTGGAGTCCCAACCAGTTCCTTTTAAAGAACCCACACATGGTCTTACTCCCTCATTCCCTATGAGTTCCAGCACAAGGGTGGCAGGGAAAAATTGAAATGTCTGGCAGCAAAGCATGCAGAAGCCATTGTCCCTTTTCTGAATCCCCCACCCGCAGAGCCACAGAGCCAGCAGACTTGTGCCACATCAGAGACTCCTTCACCTGGCTAACACAGGGGATATCCTGGTTAGCCCCCACCCTGGTATTCACTGAGGCTCCATCCCACACAATTTATAGCTCTTAACAGTAGCTTTTTCCATATGAATGGCTAGTCTTGGCTTATGCTTCACAACTTCCTGAGAACATTGGTATGGTTCTTTCAGTAGCCAAAGAACATTGGTATGGGTTCTTTCAGTAGCCAAAGAACCCATACCAGTGATCCAACGACATGAACAATGGTGTGAGGATTGCCTGAGGGAGTGAGGGTTGCTGGGTGGAAGGGGACAAAGAGGGAAAAATTGGGACAACTGTATGAGCATAATAAATAAAATGTAATTAAAAAATAACTAAGATGTGGTGGCACAACCTGGTGAGAATATTGATGTGAGGTGATGGTTGTGTTAATTAACCTGGAAACCCTAATATGTTTAAGGGACCGGACTGCAAAAGTCTTTGCATTGCTAACTTAAAAAAAATTGTTGAATTTATTGGGGTGACATTGGTTAGGAAAAGTATATAGGTTTCAAGTATAGAATCCTATAATACATCATCTGTATATTGTATTGTGTGTTCACCATCCGGTCAAGTCTCCTTGCATTGCCAAACTCAATGAATTTATTTACATGAACAACTTTTATTGAGATATGTGTGGAAGGACAAAATTTCTCCCACCCCCTAAGGTTCTTCTGGTTGATGTAAAAGTCAAATAGACATGAGAAAGTGTAGCAAGAGAAGATAACAAAATTTAATACATACATATGTATGGGAACCTCAGAAACATGGCAAAGTCAGAGATACCACAAGCAGGAGAGATTCAGAGATAGAAATGGAGGCTGAGGAATATAAGACATTGTGAGCTAGGGATGATGTAGTGCACCTGGGGAGCTTTAAAGGGTCCTTGCAGGAAACGTTTGCCCCACCATATAGGTGGTTCAAAAAGTTTATTCCTGATAATCTCTTGTGGGCAATGGCTCTAATTTGAATTCTTTCAGGCAGTAAGGGTCAGAGGGCAGAAGTTTCTCCTGAGCCTGTGGCTAATGCTGCCGTTAGCACAAAATAATTGACATACACAGAGGCACCTCTTGGGGTGACTCATTCTCTGCCCACAGATGTAACCGACATACTATGCACTTCATTAAAGTGTGCACTTCAGTGTTTTCAGCCTATTTGAATGCATGTGTAATCAACACCACAGTCAACTTTTGCATATTTTTGTCACTTCAAACAAACAAACAAACCTTCTACCCTTTTGCTGTAACTCCCAACTTCCCATCTTCCTCTCCAATCCCCTGCCCTAGGCAACCCTGAATTTACATTCTGCCTCTACAGATTTCCATATTCAGGGCATCATAGGAAAGGAATTATATTACCTATGATCTTTTTAATAGACTTTATTGACAGCATAATTTTTTCAAAGTCAGCCATGTTGTAGTATGTACCAATACTTCATTTATTCTTTATGGCCCAATAATATTCTACTGGATGGATGAAACACATGTTATTTATCTGTTTACTATGAATAATGTTGCTATAAACATGTACAAGTTTTGTTCGAACATGTGTTTTTATCTTTCTTAGGCATCTACATGTGAAAGGAGTTGAGAAATCATATGGCAATTCTAAGTTTATTTATTAATTTATTTGAGAGAGAGAAAGAAATCAACATCGATTTGTTGTTCCACTTATTTATGCATTCACTGGTTGATTCTTGTCTGTGCCTTGACTGGGGATCGAACTGCAACCTTGGTGTTACAGGATGCTGGTTTAACCAAATGAGCTACATTGCCTAGGCCAAGTTTAATTTTTGAGAAAGTTTTAGGTAATTTTCATAGTGGCTACACCATTTTATATTGTACCACTCATGTACGAGGGGTCAAATATCTTCATATGTACTGACAACATATATTATCATTTCACTTTTTAAAAATATTTTATTTATTAATTTTTAGACAGAAGGGAAAAGAGTGAGAAAGAGAGGGAGAGAAACATCAATGTGTGGTTGCCTTTCACACACCCCTCACTGGGGACCTGGCCCACAACCCAGGAATATGCCCTGACTGGGAATCGAACTAGCAACTCTCCTGTTCACAGGTCAGCACTCAGTCTGCTGAGCCACACGAGCCAGGGCTATTTTACTTTTTGATTCTAGCTGTCCTAGTGGTTGTGAAGTGATATCTTATTGGAGTTTTAATTGACGACTTCATTTCACTTTAGAATTTATTGATGATTAATGATGTCCAGCCTTTTTTTCATGTGCTTTTGACCCTTTCTTTATTTTCTTTGGAAGAAGGTGTATTTAATTCTTTGTCATTTAAAATTTTTAATAGATTTTATTTATCTATTTTTAGAGACAGGGAAAGGGAGGGAGACAGAGAGGGAGAGAAACATCAATGTGCGAGAGAAACATCATTTAATTGCCTCTCAAATGCCTGCAACCCAGGCATGTGTCCTGAGCTGGCACTAAACTAGTGAACTTCCAGTCTGTGGGATGATGCCCAGTCTACTGAGCCAAACCAGCCACGGCCTTTGTCATTTTAAAATTGAGTTATTTAACTTTCTATAATTAGGTTATAAGAAGCCTTTAGATATTTTTGATACAAGTTCCTTATTAGATATATTTGCAGATTCTTTCATTCTGTGGGTTGTGTTTTCACTCTCTAGCTTTAAAATGCTTACTGTTAATTGTGGTACTATATGTACAGCATAAAATTTACATTTTCAGAATTTTTTTTAAGATTTTATTTATTTATCTTTAGAGGGGAAGGGGGGAAGGAGAGAGGGAGAGAAACATCAATGTATGGTTGCCTTTTGTGTGTCCCCTGCTGGGAACTGGCCTGCAGGGAATCGGCCTGCAACCCAGGCATGTGCCCTGACTGGGAATCTAACCGCGCATTTTCAGCATTTTTAAGTGTGTTGTTCAGTAGTGAGAAGGACGCTGACATTGTAAAATCAATTTCCAGAACTACTTTTTTCTTGCAAAAGTGACACTCTATTCCATTAGACACAGTTCTTCATTCTCCTTTTCACCTCAGCTCCTGGCAACAGCCATTCTATTTTTGTAATACTACAGTGTTTGGCTTTTTTTGCATAGACTGATTCCTTACATGATGTCCTTAAAGTTCTTCCAGTTTGTAGGTTGTGTCAGGATTAGCTTTCTTTTTAAAGCTGAAGGGTAATTTGTTGGATGGATATGCTAATGTTTGGATCCATTTGTATGTTGATGAACCCTTGGGTTTTGCCTATTGTGAATAATGCTAGTATGAGCAGGGGGAGACATATATCTGTTTGAGTCCTGGTTTTCAGTTCTTTTGGGTTTTTACCCAGAAATAAAACTGCTAGATCAGATGGTAACTCAGTTTTTAAGTTTTCAGTGAACTGTTGTTTTCATATATATATTTTTTTACCAGCACATGATTGTTATATTTCCACAATAGTAGATAGGAGTTTCAATTTCTGAATTGAAATTCAGAAATTTATGTGTTTTCACTTTCTGAATGGTTTCCTTTGAAGCACAAAAGTCAATAATTTTTTGAAGTCTAAATTAACAGTTTATTCCTGTTATTGCCCACTGTGTCATATCTAACAATAGTTTGCCAAATTCAAGGTCAGGATTTTTTTTGGCTGTTTTATCTAAGTTTGCTGCAGTTTTGTGTGATATTTTAGGTCTTTTATCCTTTTGAGTAACTTATAGTATGTGGTGTGAATTACACAGCACAACCTTTTCTTCTTTTTTTTTTGCATGTGGTTGTTCTGTTGGCCCAGCACCAATTTATGAAAAAATTTATGAAAAAATATTCTTTCCGCATTCTTGGTAACTTTTTCAAGTATCAAATATGGTTGACCATAACTGTAGGGGTTTATGTCTCAAATATCAATCTATTCTACAGATCTGTATGATTATCCTTGTTTTAGTACCACACTCTCTTGATTCCCTTTGGTTTGTACAAAGTTTTTTTGTTTGTTTGTTTTTTGGTACAAAGTTTTGAGATCAAGAAATGTTAGGCTTACTACTTCGTATTTTTTTAAGAATGGGTTGGTGGTTCTGGTTCATTTGCAATTCCACATAAATTTATGAAACCACTTGCCAATTTCTATAAAGATTACAGCTGGGGCATTTCAACAGTGTTAAGTCTTCTGATCCATAACATTGGATGCATTCCTATTTATTCATACATTTATTAATTTTTTAAATTTATTTTTTAATTGATTATGCCATTACAGTTGTTCTATTCCCCCCTTCATTCCCCTCCACCCTACCCACCCTGTCCCCACCATTA